TGTTACTTATTTTATTTGTTTATAAGCATACTATTAATTTAAATTTGCACAATTATTTTATTTTGTGCTTTTCGTATCGTGCTGTGGCAATTATGTCATATGTTGCCCTTTTACTATATGTCCTCTAAGTTAAAAGGTTAAAACTATTTACTCAAAATCTAAACAGTACTTATTTCTTCACAGCTGGCGATGGTGATGGAACTTTAATACATTTCATTGGTTTATATCTTTATTTTATTAATTATCCCAAAACAATAATGATTAACTAAAAGTGGAGCTAGTTCAACTGATGTAGCAATCAGAATTGCTTGGTGGACCGACTTGAGTGGTAAGCTCGGGTATGATTGGTTCAACTGAACTTTAACTCGATTACTACAGTTTAAAGATATACGGTATTAGTTAAATACCTATGAAGATTTAGGAAATATACCTAAGAGATGTCCAAGTAAGTTTGAGTATATCTAGACAGTGATGAGAATGATGTTAACAACCAATTTAAAGAGAAATTAAACCAAAAGCAAATAAATTAACACAAAAAAATAAAAATAAATAAATAAATAATAGATAAAAGTCGAATTTAAGCTCTCAACCACCAAACTAGCATGAAATATGCATGTGGAATTTCATATGATTCTAATGCTTGCTTGGACATACAAAGCACCTTCAACATAAACTAGCTAGTTGATTAGCTCAACTTACCTTGCATATGGACATGAACTCGTGATCCGTCTCCCGATCCCCGAGGCCCAAATCGGGCATACTCGGCCCGAATTCCCTCACGATCGCCATCCTCTTGTTGGGCCCGACGAGCACGCCCGGTTTCCTCACGAAGCCCGTGGCCCGGCCCGAGCACGTCTCTTCCAGCTCGGTCCCGAGCACCCTATCCGTGCCCAAATACTTCTCACAAAAATGCTCCACCATGATCCTAGGGCTCGCGGTCACCACGCACTTCCTACCGAACGAGTTAAAAACGCGCCACGTGTTGGGATTCACGTCCTCTGCATAGAATCGAGGCAGAACCGCCCGGGCCGTGAGCTCGATTTCACGGATTTTGAGGCCCGAGAAGGCAACGAAGATTAGGGTTTGTATCCCGAGAGCTTCCGAGACAAATAGGTAAATGAAGTAGATTATCGGGACGAATGTTAATAGAAGAACTGCACGAACGAGGCTACCGGCTTCTAAGGCGACAAGCAAGTAATAGGGGAAAGCGCTTGTCGAGAGCAAGAGAGTGCCGTCTAGGTCGGCCGCCACTGTCTGGGTCGACCGGTTGTCCGTGCTGCACTTTGATATCGACGCAAAACGTTGATCGACACCCATATTTTCTTAAATATATATCTAGAGAGAGAGAGTTGGAGTAATGTTATGGCTCAATGTTTGTGATGAGCTAGTTATGTTATAACTTATAAGGTTATAATGAGAGAATTGGGGTTAGAAAATGGAAATGTTATGTGTTGCTCTAGCTTGGAAGCGTCGCCATTATAGATTGGGCTAAGAGCCTAACCCAAGCTGTACTTTGATCATTTATTTTATTTTTTTAATAAGCTGTACTTTGATCAATTGAGGTTTGAGTTAATGGTGTATTTGTTTTTTATTTACATATTTATTGACACCTTTTATTACACGACGAATCTTACATTAATTCGCACAATTTAAATGTTTTGCCTAATTCGGAATATTGAATAACAACAAGGACAAAAGTTAATAAAATAAAAATAAAATAAAATGTGTGAAAGAAATAAATTTTTGGTACCAAACATTTGTACGTAGTGACTTAGCTATATGAATGATCGTCCTTTTTTCCGCCCAACTTGTAAATACAGTATACAAATATGGAATTAAAGTAGTAAATTGAAATAAAATAGATAAATACAGCTGATACTAATAATAATATTTAAAAATTGACATACATGAGGATAAACATATTATCCTTTATTTTTTGTAACTAATCAAATAATGCTAAATCCCTCCCTATATATTAATTCAATACGTACGTGTTGAGCTTAGGTGGCAGATTCTCACGTTTCGGATGCTGACATGACGAAAATCTATGCTTCGTTATGTTGTTTTTATATTATTTTTACTCTGGAGTTAAGTTTGGTATTAGACGTAAATAACTTTACACATATATTCATTAACTCAACACTCATGTTTGTACATGAGTATTAGTACTAGTTTTTATTTAATTACAAACAAAAATATAGTGTTAGCTTATCCCTAGATTCATTCATTAAAACAAGACAATGTCTTCAAGCCGCATGGAAGTTAAAATTCAACCCGAAGTAAAAAGTCAATCCAAGGTCATGTAAAAGAATTTAACCCGAAGTAAAATCTATTATTATTATTATTTTATTATTTTATTTGTAAACAGCCCAATCTGTTATCTGCGAGCGTGCCTTTATAGGCTAACCAGCTACATAAATAAATTCACGCAATTGGGCCGTTGGGCTTGCTTAAATTATAGTTGGACTTATATTTAAGTTGGCAAAATACATAAAGTATCTTTACAATACTCACACCTGGCTCATTAAACAAGTATCTTACTTCATACGGCCCAAATAAGTGGAATTACCGCTTTAAATAATTTCAAAAATATAATTTTATTGATAAATAAATTATTCAAAGTCGACTCATGAACTAGAAAATTTTGAAAATACGAAACCAATGATAAAAATAAACTACAAATCAATTAGTCATAAACAACAAAAAATGGTATATTTGCGATTAAAATTAAAAACTTCATAAATATGTAAATAAATTTGAACTTGTAGGCAAACATCTCAATTTTCTCTTGTATTATTGGCATATTTATAAATATTTTTAATAGTAAATATACTAACATTTTGTTTTGTAATTTAAATTTGCTATTGAAAATATAAATAAAACACTATTTACTTATTTATTTATTTTTTCCAACCCAATCCTATTGCTATATACATTCTACAATATAAAGTCAATCATGCTATATATTCAAGGAATCTATTGGTAACTCACATATTTGTTAGTTTTGCACATCACATTTTATCTGGGCCATATACTGAAGGATTGCAAAGCATTCATTCCAAATTACTGTAGAGCCCAATTTTCTCATCTGACCCAAATTACGTTGGCCCAAACATTAACTATCACTTGTTCCATCACTCTTACTGTGGATCTGACTGTGGCCCAAAAATTATGGCTCAAGTTTCTTCTTCTTCTTCTTCTCTCTCTCTCTCTCTCTCTCTCTCTCTCTTTTTTTTCTTCACAAAATTTGTATTCATGTTTTCTACAAATTAATGCCTGAAAGCAGTGGCGGAGCCAGGATTAAAATCTACGTATGGCGAACCTACCGTGCAAATCTACGTATTTGATTATAAAAAATATAATCAAATAATGTACATAAATGACATAAATTTACCATGCAAATATTAGGTATTGATAAATACACGATTAGATGAACATACCGTGCAAAGCACTAAATGCGGCGACCTGACGGAGGAAGATTCATCCTCCGATGTTTCATGGCTTGAAAGCGCTTCATGACTGCTTCATCATCAAGTCCTTTAAATATCTCCTTCTCGTTGTAGCATATCATTAAATCATTGAGCCAATCATCATCCATCTTATTGCGCCGTTCGGTTTTTATAATTTTCATAACCGAAAAGACTCTTTCCACTGATGCTGTTGCAACGAGAAGGAGAAGTGCTAGCTCAACAAACTCCCAAAATCAATGCAACCGGTAAAGTCATCAACTCTTCTAACATGATGAATAAAGGTTTGAAGCTGATCCTTTATATTGGAAAGATCATCACCCGAGAAGTCCGCATCATAGATCCTTGCCAATTGTACGAGCTTGTCCACATTGAACTTAGAGAAAGAGTTCCTTGGATCAAGACAGGAAAAGCATACAAGTAAATCAGAAGAAACTTCATTGAATCGATGATCCATCTCTGTGTTGATAGCATCTACAGCAGCATAGAAGGTGTCGACACGATAATGATGCTCTTCTGTGACCATTATCCCTTTTTCTTGCCTTGAACGACCCCATCTTGGTCTTGGTGCATTCATAGATGGTATCTCAATTTTCTTTGCATCACAAAATGTTTTTACTTCAGCAAACAGTTCCTCCCAGCCATTACTCCTCAAATCAACCAATCGTGCTTTCACATCAACTAGCAATGACATGGCTTGAACAATATTTTGATCTCTCCTTCGCAAGCACTGTGACAACTCATTTGTAATGCGGAATAATATGAGCATCATCTTCATAATGAACACAAAGTTAAAACTTTCCATTATGTGGGCCAAACCTCCAGCATTGTTTGAATTTCATTTTTCTTTATTAACAAAAATCAACACCGGCAGAATAGCATCCCACATTGACTCAATACGAAGTAATGTATTAAAGTGAGATCCCCATCTAGTGTCTCCAGGTCTAACCAAGCTAGTCATTTGATTCTGACCTCTCCCTGAAATAATCTCTCCACTGTTCAATCTATCTAAAATATTATTTCGATGCTTCTCAATTAATAAATCCTTCCTTTTGCAGGAGGCACCCACATTGGTTACAACCAAACTGACATAGTCAAAAAAATCCTTAATGCCTGCACAACATTCACTGACAGCAACCACTACCAATTGCAACTGGTGTGCAAAGCAGTGAATATAAAATGCATATGGATTGTCATCACGAATTTGTTTTTGCAAACCATTAAATTCACCTCTCATATTAGATGCTCCATCATATCCCTGTCCTCGGATCCTAGCAATTGGTAGCTTATGACTACCCAACATCTCGACAAAAGCCTTCTTCAATGCCACTGATGATGTTTCCTTAATATGCTTTAGACCCAAAAATCTCTCTACAACAATTCCCTTGCTGTTTACAAACCTGCATATCAAATAAAAAATAATGCTAATTATTTAATTGAACAAGTAATCTGATATTAGGAAAAGGAGACAAATCAACTACTTATTACCTTACAACCACAGCCATTTGCTCTCTGATTGAGATATCACGTGATTCATCAATAAGGACAGAGAAACAACGATCCCCAATCTCTCCCATAATAACTTTAGTAACCTCCTGTGCATAAGCTCTCACAAGGTCCTTTTGAATATCTGGAGAAACCATTTTAGCATTTTCTGGACACAACTCATCAAATGCAATCCTCACATCTTCATTCTTCTCTTTGTTTGAATCAATCATCTCTAGATAATTGCCCTTATTTAATGATGATGAAGATTCATCGTGTCCACGAAAAGAAAGACCTTGCTTAATGAGATATTTTGCTGAATCTAAAGCAGTAGTCAGACGAGTTTTATATCTTTTTTCAGAGTCTTTGCCATAATTTTGGAGCTTACGATCTACACCTGCTCTTTGATTCTTAAAATCAGCACAAGCATTTCTTGCATTATTGTGGTCACTATCAACAGTACCAACATGTTTAGGGAGGGCCTTATATGCATTCTTCCAAGTATTAAATCCTAACTTTGTGAAAGCATCATGCCCAAACTGACCATCAGAGGGTTGTTCCTTAAAAAGAAAGCAATAAAAGCAATAAGCGGCATCTTTCACCACATTGTATTCTAACCAATCATACTTGGCAAACCATGATTCTAGAAAAGATCTATAGTCATTCAGTCCACTACCACTAAGGCTACGAAGAAAAGTATGACCTTTAAGCTGTGTTGGACCCTTCATCAAATAAGCTCGCTTCACTTGATCTCTAATGTTGGGATGAAATCTTTCAATTGGAATGCGAAGCCCGGGATCAGAAATAATATGATCTTGGTTGAACTCTGTGATAAACCCACCTTCTAGTTCTTGATGCAAAGGTTCAGCCTGTGGTGCTTTTTCTTTTTTCAAGTTGTGTTTCTTGGACGGGTGCTTCAATTTCATCAGTGGACTGAATGTCATTCCCATCTCTCGCTTCTCCTTCTATATTAACAGGGGTACTGCTACTGCTAAAAAATCTCTTTATGCTGACAACTGAAGGATATTAACATAAGACTATAAGAGATACATTAATTAACAAATTATAGTACCAACAATGAATGAATGAAACATAGAGATCATCTAGTAACATAGAGATCATCTAGTGTCTCACCTTTCAATTTTTTCCCAATCTGAGTTGCATCTGAACTTGAACGCCGACGATTAGGATTAGTATCTGAAGATTGAGGAGGAGGAGCATTTGCATTCGGATTACCATCACTTCCAGTTCCAGGAGGCTCTTCCATGCCGGCGAGCGGCGAGCGGATGGAGCAGAAATTGAGTTGGGCGGGCGTCGGCGACAACGGTTCAAGAGAAAGATGGAGCAATTGGGAATTAGGTTTATGGGTTATGGCCAAAAGCTGAGATCTTGGAGACTTGGTGTGACTCAAGCCGTTTTTTACCAAATTGCCCTTAAAAATTTCAACGTGAACAATAGTACATTAAGTGGGGGTATTTTTGACTTTTTACCAACCTTCTTCTACCTCATTTTCTCTTTCCATTATACAAAAAGCTGAATTCTACAAAAAAAATACAAAAAAATATCAGAAAATACAAAAAAATATCAAAAAATACAAAACAAAACTGGGGGGGTAGGGGGGTGTTCGCCGGCGGCCAGGTATGGCGGCCGCCATGCCTCGCCATACTGGTGGCTCCGCCACTGCCTAAAAGAGTATTTGGTAATCACAATAAGTTAATTTATAACTTGTAATACGTATGAAAGTGTGTTGCATAACATCATAAGCACAATTTAAATTAATTTATAATATATTTACTTAACTTATAAGTTCGATGTAATCAAATAAACATTCTTCGGTAGAATTAACTATTTTTTTTAAACTCGAGACCTCATTATCTCATAAACTTCTCCAGATAATTTTTTCTTAAAACCCCATTGAAATTTTTACTTCTGTTAATTATATCAAACCTTTTTATTATATTAGTTCACTACTCAACCATCAACAATAAGATGTCAATTATAAGCTCAAAATTCACAAATTATAAAAGTTAATTAACAATCATTCACAAACAAATGGATGTTTTGGCTACAATAGCTAGGAGTATTATTTAGAAATTTTCACCTTTTGTTTGTAACATTTAAAAAAAA